CCAGCAGCAGCCCTTATTTTGCGGGGGAGAAGCCAGACTTGGCCTGTCCACCAGAGCCCCTGGTGCCAGCCCAGTGTGCTTCCTGGACTGAGAGGTGGTTCAGTGTCCACCCAACCAGGCGAGGGCACCCTTTCCCCTCTGTGCCTTGTCATCCTCTGCTGTGGCCTCCTGAGCCCTGGGGTCCTGGTCTCCAACCAGAAGCACAACACCTCCCCTCACGGCTGCGGCGGGACAGGCCGTGGCCGTCCTCTGAGGCACTGGCCCTGTGCTAGGGTGGCCACGGAGCCCAGACCGTGTGTCCTGGGGGGAGCTCCCTGCGCTGGCACAGGGCAGATGTGCAGCAGGGTGCAGGGTCCGTGTGCTGAGGTGGCCCTGCTGCGCCTGGACCCACTGGGGCGGGCCCCGCGAGCGTGGGGCTGGGGAAGCTCAGGGGCATCTCTGCGTCCCTTGGCCTGGCTGACGAGCAGGGACCGCCAGCCACCCCAGCGCGGCGGCTGCTTCCTTTGAAATGGCACAGCACCATCTGCAGGGCCATGTGGGCCGAGCGCTCCCTTGGCAGAGCCCCCCTGGCGGCACTTCCAAGGCGCTGAGCGGCTCGCTTTTGAGAATCCGCACCAAGAAAACACTCTGTGTGTCTTCCCACTCGTGGCTCCGTCCCAGGAGGCTGAGCGGCAGCCGTGTCTCTGCATCAGTCACTTTCCAGCCGGAGCCCAGAGAAGCCCAGGAGCCGGACCAGCGACTGCTTCAGCCTCCAAACCACCCAGCCTGACTCCCCTTCCCTGCCTGGGCCCTCCCCCGTCGGCCCCCAGAATCCCGCACCGGCTCCCGCCTGAGCACGGGGAGGTGGACACCCCACTTTTGACCTGCTTCCCTGGGGCGTCTCCTCTAGTTGGAGCCTCCCCTCCTGCAAAGTCCAGCTGGTGTCCAGAAGTCTGCAGCCGCAGCGGCAGGGGGCCGTGGTCCTCAGAGGCAGACAAAGGTTCCCACACGCCATCTGACAACCCTGGCTGCTTGTGGCCCTTGGCACTCCTCAGGCCACCTGGCACTGCAGTGGGCTCCGGGCCACTTGGTGTTGGAGCCAGTGAGTGAGGCCCGCCCGCGGCAGAGGCCGGCAGCCCCCAGCAGAGCTTCCCAGGGTTCTGACCCAGGGGCAGCGTGAGAGCGACTTTGATGGGTGGCGGCCAGACGGCGCAGCACAGAGCAGAGCCCAAGAGCAATCATCAGGTGCACGGGGTGAATGTCGGTTCAGGAAGCACCCACCTCTGACGGAAGCCTGTGAGAGGGACAAGCTGCATCTCTCTGGGTCAAAAAGTCACTTCACCAAAACTGTGTCACCGATGGACGTGTCTCAGCCCCTCAGGGGAGGGTGGCAGGGGTTACCACTCTGCCTGCGTCCTAGATGTGTCTCCAAGTTGGTGTCGAGCTGACCACTTTGACAGGAACGTGAGCCGTTCTGTCCAGCATCCTCCATGGGGTGGAGGCAGAAAGCGGGGGCTGTGCTGGCTCCAGCTGATGGCACCCGGGGGGGAGGGCCCAGGAGGTGGTGTGGCCCAGGAGGTGGTGGGGCCCAGGAGGTGGTGGGACCCAGGAGGTGGTGGG